CATATTGCTGACCTAAAATATATCGATGTCAGTCTCGAAAGATAAGCCGCTAAAGGTAACACCCGTGGAAGCATGCTGTGGCTCCTGTGACGCACAACCGCAGAACAACGGTCCCGTGTTCCAGCCAGGTTTTGGTTACGCATGAGCGTCTTTCTTCTATAGTTTTCTCTGTGGTACGCCAAAAACCTTAGCAGTCTAATATCAACATAATGCAGACGTGCATTAAATAATCATTAAGCGGATTCATCAGTGGTTGGCCATAATTTCTCGAGCTAACTTGAACATTCGGTTTTATTCAATATTTTGTACATTAACACCATGTGGTGCTTTCGTTTCATTCCAATGTTTCTTTGAACCAGTCGAACTTTTGCGATTTTTCCCCTCACATCTCTGATTCACCAAAGATAGGCGCTGCAAATATTGAAGTAGCGTCCCCGCTTAGTTATTTCGGTTTTCCTGTGCCGCTACTGCAGTTTCGACCGTTAAGTCCGTAGTTTAAGGGCCCTAAAGCCAGGATTGTATTTAACAAATGGATAATTTTTGCAGAATAATTAAAAATAAAGAAGCAGGAGAAATTTAACTAAATAATGAAAGGAACTCAAATCAACAATATAATGCAAAACAATTTGGATAATCTCGTCATGTAACACAGAAGATTCGAAAACGCCTTCAATTGAGGCGTGATACCTCACGCGTTCCGGAGAGTTCAAATAGTTGTATCTCTGCGCCTTAGCAAGGCGATGGAAGCTTAATAATGCTGCAAATGCACCGATCACACAGTGTGCGACTGCCTACGAGAAATGGAGGCTATTTAGGCCGCACCGTGAGCTTCGATGAATTACCAACTTAATTCGAAAACTATGGGAAGCGAACTCGGTGAGAAAGTGCCTTCACACAGTCGACTAGGCAAAAAGCACCATCGTATCAAATGTACTCACTGCCTGGTGTCGTTTAGCAAGTAGCCAAGCCACTCATTAAATAACACTGTCTCACCAAGTCACAACCCCATGATCCTCTATTGCATGTGCATTTTGCATCTCTTTATTTTTGGATTTTTCTAAGGAAGATTCGATCATTAATAAATAACTACGGGCTGTGCCACCTGACTGCTTCGCGGTCTAACCTCCCGAAGCGCTTCGTGCTTCAGTCGTTATGCGTTCATTGGCGGATCCAGCAAATTGGCAACACCGTCTTTTCTCCATTTAAACCTATGGAAATGTATCGATTCTTGGAGGGTCCAGGTGCTCCGACAAGAATCGATTATTTAGCATAGGTTTAAATGAAAGAAATCCAGTGTTGTCAAATTGCTGGATCCGCCTCTGTATGCGTTACGCGTTACTCTCATGATTTTAATGTAAGAATAAGAGAAAAAAATACTAAGAAGTGGCCGGAACTGTATCTAACATGGTGGAGAGGTTTTGTATTGGTACCCATTAGAGTTAAAAGATTTATTTTTTACTCTAATTATAATTTTTGGAACTTCTTGGCTTTGTGTTCCCCGCGAAATAGTGAGGATCCAGCACCATTTCTTCACCTTGTTGTAAGAGTAAAATGTACTCTCGAAAAATTTACAAGGTTGTTTCTGTAAAAAGCAAGGGCATCCTTCTAATTTCAGTTCTCGTGACTGAAGAGACCTTTCATATTACTGTGCACACGGAAAAAAATTAAATGTTGATTTAGCATGTATATTGTTAAAAACATGTCTGACAAGTTTCAAGTGCTGATTTTACATTTAAAGAAATGCTAACTTAACTACGCCCACTGTAAAACGAAAAACTTCAAATGTTTTGTTAGCATTTTTGTTTTGTAAAATCAGCATTTGAAACTTGACGGGCTTTCTTTAACATTTTAAATGCTAAATCAGCATTTAATTTTTCTCCGTGTACACTGCCTAGAAAAATTTTCTTTATAAGTGAAGGATAAAAAGTATGAGGAAGGGAACAAGGATTGACAGACACTTGAATGTCATGATGATGAATAGTGGGACGACTTTGAGAATTGAATTTCCTCTATACCTTACCACAATTGCAAAATCGGAGCAAATTCAATGAAAGCAATATCGCAACTCTGCGAGTAGTGACTTTCCAAGTTCATTGCTCCAGTTCCGGTACATTTGTCGTGTGATTTCAATAAACTGTCGCTGTTTTTAAAGCCCCTGCCCGTAGTGGGTGCGTTTCATCCGTCAGTCCACCGATTTGTCTTCCCTTCCCTCGCATTTTAACCCTCTGCGATAGTTATTTTTACGCAGCGTCGTACGCTACGTGATTTGATTGAACGTCACATTCGATATGCGTCTACGTGCAGAGCAGTGAGTCGCGAACGCTCTTAACTGGAATTCAAAATTGAAAATGCGGTATGCAAGTTAAAAAGGCATCCCTAAGATGTAACCAGCTTTAGAGAATAGACTTTTAGCCGGCGAACAAAAAGCTTTCGAGAGTTCAGGATAATAATTTTGTGTGAGTATGTGTAGAGGATGGCAGATAAATCGAGTTTCTATGAAGTCCTGGGATATCGGATATTATCAATTAAAATCACGTAAAATTTTGCAAAAAAAAAAAAAAGAAGCACAAGGATTAAATGTTTGGGATCTCTGTATCGAGTGTCAATACAATGTGTCCGAACTTTAATGCGCAATACTTTGTAGACCGAGTTTTGGGGTCAAAATGAGGCTTGTGTCAATGAATCCTGGGGATATAGTTTTTTTTTTATTCATTTTTGTCCATAGTTCCTTTTAGCGATTGAAAAATTCACGATCACAAATATATGATATAGAGGTAAAACTCACATCATAAATAAACTTATATTATTGAATATATCGTCTTCCCTCTGGTGTAAGAGCGTATTTCTATTCCCAGGTGCGGTCTTTATTACATATAAATCCATGCTTTCCGGAGCTCACGCTAGAATCAAGATCCACCTTTTTATAGCCTTGTTTTCCAATCTTTTTATTGTGTTTTCGCTATCATATTTCGGGCTATCATAACTTCTCTCTCTTGTATCCCTGGTAAAAATTGGCGATACGAGCTGCGTTTCAAAATACCATGGGAGTTCTTATAGCCGACTGAAGAAGGTTATTGAAAATCATATAGCTGGCTGTGGAAAGCGGAGCAAATCATATAGCCGGGCTATACGAAACTATAAAAAAGTATACAGTCGGGCGATAGTTCTTATCGCCGGGCTTTACACTTTATCGCCATCGGCTATGAAAGGCTATAAGAAATTGTGTAGAAATTCGTGTGCTTTGGAAATCATTAAGTTTGATACGGAACAACCTTAATATTTAAAAAACACACATTATATTTTCCTTTAAAACATATTTTTTTTCATCAATTAAAATGAGATGGCCCATACAGAGTGTGCAAACATTTCAAAATCATGAGTCGAAAAACGCTGACTCCGCGAGATTAAATATTAGAGCCTAACACAAAGCGGAGCGGCGACGCATTGGCGCCTACAAACCTAACAGGGATACTTCACGCATTGCGCGGCGACGCACTGGCGCCTACAAACCTAACAGGGATACTTCACGCATTGCGCAATGCGTGAAGTATCCCTGTTAGGTTTGTAGGCGCCGATGCGCGTTTCGCGCTCTCCGCCCGCCCGCCGCGCCACAGCGTGCCACGGCGTCTGAAGCAAATATTTCACACCAGAGGTATTGCACAGTATCATAAGAAATTGAAGGTGCTCCAACATATTAAGAATGACAGGCATCCTTCAAAAGTACGGCGCTTTCCGCGCAAAATAAATCAAGATACCACGGCACAAAAAGAGAGCGGTAGTCCAAAAACTAACAAAGTCCTAGTATCCGTATTTAGTAACGTTTAGCATAAACTTTATCATCTGGCTGTTGCTTAATCGCCATCGGCTATGAAAGGCTATAAGAAATTGTACAGCCGGCTACAGAAGCTATTGGAAATCTTACAGCCGGCTTTAGGTCTAAAGTATTTTGGGACACACGTTCTACTGCCAATTTTTACCAGGGATCTTCAGAACTATATACTTCAACTTCACAATCAAAGAATCGAATCTCATTTATGTTATCTGTAGTGAATAAGCAACATTTATACATTGACAAACATCAATGAAAAATTAGACGAGCTAATTTGACTGCCATAGTACATCACTTCCATCATTTTACCGCCCTTCCGCGGAACTTTTTCGGGTCTTTGGGCTCTTTAGAAGCGGGCTGACGTCTAGGATTACTTTGGCTCCAAAAATACGCAATAAATCACCACATAATCTACTTAGCTGGTCCTTTCAGAATATTAAATAAAAAACACAAAGTTTAGTGAGGCATTATTACATTATCTATACTTAATAAGATAATAAACTTAGAATATTACACTATTTTATATTTTTTTGCGTACAGACCCCCCACCCCCCTGTTCAGATTTTCCACGTGACCAATTCAACCTTCGGAAAATGATGATTCACTTTTTGCACACGTGCCGATATTTTCGTCCTCCTACACGCTCCCGAATTATCGTGCTAATGGAAATTCAGGTTTGCTTGCGTTATTCAAATCCAAAAAAATGTCACGAATACCTTTCCAACCACGCACATTAGATGTGTGCGTGACTGCAAAGGCACTGTACAACTCTGTAATGTGTGTGAAGAGTGATGCAAGAGTGTGTTCCTCGGTTTTTATTCCGTTCCATCTCATATCAACGGAGCAGATTTCGTCGTTTCCCCAGACGGAAGAGCGTAAGCTTATTTCAAAGTTGCAAAATTTAATCAAGCTATGCATTTTTTCACAAGAATATGACCGTGTAATTTTTGTCCAAAATTTTTCTGATTTTTGAGAATATTCAGAAGGAAAGCTACTGAAATTTTCAACTAAAAGCGCCCAATAGACTCATATTAGCAGAGACTTTTGCAAAATGAAATTTTACAACGTTGGAATGCGTTTACATTCCAAAGTGAGACAGTATCTATCTAATGTACCCGTGAACGGAACTGAATCACCAGTGATTAAAAATGACGTGGAAAAAAGAGCTATTTTTGAACTTTAGTCACGTTATTTAAGCAGCTCCATGAAACTAGGATGTCGGCATTGCATGTGGTTTAGTTATGTCGAGTGTGAGCATGAAGTTTCAAGCCTCATTGGCAGCTTGGATCTCTGTTCTTGTGATTCAGGTGAGAAAATAATATTTAGGACTCAGCTTTTCACAGCGTTCTAACGTCGGACATGTCTATAAGCCGCAGGTAAATAGTCAAAGCAAGCATTTTATCAGATGTCTCGGCGAAGAGTTAAATATCCTCCAAGCTGACTGAAATTCTGATCATTTTGCTAAATGTAGGCAAAATAATTCTCTGAACATGCGGGAAAGAGTTCTCTGTAAAAATTTGCTCCATACAATGTAAAATAAATTTGATTTATTCCTCAAATTCACATGCATCTTAAAATATGCAACATTTTATAAAATAAACAGTTTTCGCAATTTCGCCGGTTGAGGAAATATGAGGAGTATTTGCAACCAAAAATTAAATGACAGTTGTATTTTGATGGATTTTTATTCTCAAAATATTGAAAATTCGAGAGGTCTTTGCGAAAGCATAAAAAACTTTTAAACTTTGAAAATTTGACTATCTGCCTAGGCATTTGATGAAATGCCTGATTTGACCATTTGCCTACAACATATACGTAATTGCTCCTCTGAAGTTTTGACCCCTAAATTTAGAAATTATAATGTTTGATAGAAGTTTCAGGAGTGCAAGAAAGTAAGACAGTTAAACTTGTGTTAAATTTTAAATTTGTAAAGGAATCCGCATAAGGTAGAAGCTGTTTTTCGGGGGCCTCTTCCGAGGATACTCGCGCAAATCGGGGTGGTTTCGCAATTATTTATAAGACCGACCTCTATGGCCTACACACAGAGAGAAAAATCAACACAAACGTCTGGTTAATACGAAAAGTAAAACACAAAATGACCCTAAGTGCATGAATCCGGCGCGAAATTCGCGCTTTGGTGAAAGTGAAAATCTAAAAGGCAAAGGTAAAACAGAACTGCCGCAGCATGGATTTAAACCTTAGTCGCAACGGTGATAAACGAGTGCGCTGCCACTTTGCTATTCGACGTTGGTGTCAGAGGCACCTAAATACACGCTACTTGAGGGAGCTCAACTAATTCGTCCGTCGTTGGTGATATTCACGCCCTAATCTTTTTACTCAGAGTGCGGCGCGATATTCGCGTTAGATTTTTTTTTTTTTTCACGCCGGCTATTCACTCAGAGTAAATCATTGATTTTTAACAGTGTTGTTTTCGGTAGAGTACCTGTATAGCGAGAGTATGGACAGATCGCTTCATGGATGTCTTTAGGGCCCAAAAGTGCAGTCATCCCTCTAACCAACTTCTACCACACAAAATTTCACTGTCAATCTGCAGAGTCTGCAAATTCCAATTCTAACCAAGATGGCCAAGAATTTACAGAAATGAGCGTTCTTCCGCAAAAATGAGTAAATTTATGCAAAAACTGAGTCAAGTACGTGCTTTATAAACGACGGTTCGTAACAGTAGTATTAGTAAATCGTTCTGGATAATTGAAAATCATAGGTTGGCTGCATTTCTGGGCCCTAACTTTATTCGCAGAACCATCGGTGAAGGCCTGATGGATTTTCGGAGTTTCACATCTGTCCATAATTTCGCTATACAGGTACTCTAGTATTCGCCGGGTTCTTGCAGGTTGTGAGTGAGTCCACTTCACTTTATCCATTGATCGATGAGGCTCCTTCCGTTTCACGAAGCGACCCCTCAAAACTGGGATGGGACGTGCAAGCAGCCAACAGAGTAGATGAAGACAATTCCGGAGCCTTGGAAACGAGAGCCTACGACAAGCACAGTGTGTCGAACGTGGCACGGCGAACGGCCAAGCGAAATGCTCGCTTCGTGCGCCAAGGGATGAACTCCGGACTGGACTTGTTGCACAGCGGAATTGAACGAAGCGCGGAGTACAACGAAGCGCTCAGGCAGTTCGGGATGAAAGGTGTGGAGGCGGTGCCCAAGACTGTGGCACCTGTGGTATCCCCGTTCCTTGAAGGCGTCATCCAGGCGGGCAACGCTGTCGTCGACGGCACGCTAGCCTTGGCGTCGGGGGTCACAAAAAGCGCTAAGGGGCTCAACGACGGACTCATGGGTGGAGCTGAGTCACTCTTAAAGAAGAAGGGACCGCTCTCTTACCTCTGGGGCTCCTCGTAACTGTGCGTTGTCTTCTTGGTTGGAGTAGGAGGCTACCTAAAAGTTTCCGAGCCCCTGTCCACCTTCTTTGGAAATTCGAAAAAGAAAGAGCATCCTAAAATTCTAATGATCAGTTTTTTCTTCATTATTACCATAACGATGGCCAAATTGCGAAACCGCGTATCTCCGTTTCCGAGGGTGCAGACTTCTAGTCTTACTTTATTTTTTATTTGGAAAACTAATCAACTTAATTTCTTAATATCTCCTTTAGTTTCTCTTCTGTATTAGGAGAGTATTGTGTGTAAATTTCTCCCTATGTCGTTGGCTTGTTTTTCTTCAAAATAATTAAATAGAAGTAGAGCTTTTATAACACCGCAATGGAGATACGTGATTTCGCACTCCAGCCATCGATAAGCTCTCATGACCCCCTAAATTCCCATTTTTGTCACAATTCGTTCTACCGTTCACCTGAGCCAATTTTTATGATTTTTCCAGCTATTGACAGGTAATAGTCCCAAATAAGTCCGCTTAGTGCAGATTTTGGAAATATGATGCAGTTTTTTTTTTTTTTTTAATTGCGTGATAAAGTTGTGAATGTTTTATTTAAACAATGGAAAAGTTCATTTTTTGTCACAGTTCGATCTAAAGATCTATTAGGCCGATTTTCTTGATTTTTGCGGTTACATCGACAAGAAACAGTCCCTAGATGAAGTGCCGAAGTGAAGCGAAGTGCTTTTGTGAGATGCTGTGAAGATGAAGATCTTAATCCTACACATCAAGACAAAGAGAACGAATTATACCTCCGTCCACGGCAAAAATCATCGCCCCTCTGACGTAAGGACGTATCTCCCGCATGAGTTCCAGAAAGCATGCCTTTGTATGTGAATCAGGGCTCACATGCTGGAAATCGAGATACGACCTTACGTTAGAGGAGCGACGAAATGCCGTATCTTCATTCCAGATCTGACACATTTTTCTCAGAAAAACAGCTCCGCTACAGGAAAAGGCGCAAACATCCATCTTTCATACTTTCAGAATGCCCGTGTCACACCAATCGGAAGTTGAAATGAAAATATCCAGCTGGATCTTTTTGAGACGAAGCGTTTTGTCTAGAAAACATTCTCAAACTCTGGACAGGAGTTACTGCGCTCTTACTGTGGATGGCAGTATAGAACTTAGTTTTGTCACAAAGCTGCGTACGAAGCCCTCGTTTTGTACGGCTGAGACTGTACTATAATTCGGCCCGCAGACAATTTAAAGCATCGCCGTTTGACACCCGACTGCGGGGTGACTCGGGATGAATCGCTCTCTCCATCAATTAATAAACAGAAAATGATCTTGATATCAGATGAAGATAAATAGGATCGCAACTTTGGACTCGGGAGTGGGCGTCGCGGGGTCCAGGGGAGGGGGAGGGGAAGGGGCCGGGGTGTTTTTTTGCCGCGTCTTGGTCTTGGTGCAAGAGCCAAGAAAACTCCAAGTTCTCACTCTCATTAGGACGCGAGATTTATTCACTGCTCAATTGTGCGTGATTTATGCCGTGGATGCGCCGCGCGAGTATGACCGAAGACCCTGCTAGGTTGCCGACTTGGTAACGAATTCCAGAATCGGTGGACGTATCGGACGCATATCGCGAAAAGGAACCAGTTAGTAAGCTACCTCACGGACCACAACGCAATCGGTGGAAAATTCAAGCATGAATACCCCAAAATCTGTTTAGAAAATACATCAATGGATGACGGTTTGTAACGAGGATTCCGAGTCGAATAAATTATAACCAAAACTGAAGAAAATAAATAAAAAAGAGACAGGATAAATTAAGCGATTGGTGGAATTTTAATTAAATTTTATTGAAGGAATTCCCATTCACAAAATTTTAATTTCTGCAAGGCAAAAATAATTAGCAATTAAAACATAAATAATAATTAATTTTTAATTTTTTTACGGCTACTTTCTCGTCTTGGACCTTTCCTTCAGTCGGGAGGAATATCATGGGACAAGAGTTCTTCGGTGTAGCAAACGAAGAGATTCATTCTGGTTTTAATCGTAACGGTGTCATTTTTAAGAATGCAACTATTACCACAAGTGAGAAAGGTTCTGCCGATATAATACAATGAGGCCGCACCGCTCCTCATGACTTTACCATTATCATTAAGCTCACGACAATAAATAATTGAAAAGTGTTTTTTTTTTTTCGAACATACATTTTTCGCTTTTCTAGATGCTTGTGCCATACTTGTGCTAATGTCAATGGGCAAATTAAGAATTTTGTCAGATGCCTAAGCTGGCGATCAAATTTTGGATTTGACAAAGCTATCTTATTCAAAAGCGTTTCGTAACATTTCGAACGTAAACATGGATCAAACTATGAGATTTTCTGAATTTCTAGAAACAGAAGTTACTGATCGTAATTTCAACCATCAAATTTGTAAGTACTTTTTAGAATACCTACTATACAATTTTAGGTAAATATTTATTCAAACGATAAGAACCATAAAATCAATCTTAAAAATTGCAATTTTTTTACGGAAAATTCTATTGCACACATTCCGATACAAAATTATTCTATTTAGTAAGAAATAGCAAATAATTCAGAATTTCATAATCTAAGAAAGAATAATTGACCATTTGCCCACAAAATTTTTACCTTGATCACCGGCCTTTGACAGAAGCACTGATTATATTTTGAATAATTTCTCCGGGCGTCCGTCATCCCGTCACCCCTCTGACGTAAAGACATATCTAAATCTCCTCGTGAGCCCTGTTTTGTATGCGAATCCTCACTTTCTGGGGCTCATGCTAAAATCGAGTCACGCTCTTACGCCAGAGGAACGACGATCCGAGCGGACGGCAACTGGGCACCAACGACGTCGAAGACAGCCTATTCCTCGGGTTCTCGCACCAATGTTAAATTTTAATTTGACATATTCTCTAATGTTCCGCTCATTTTGTTCCCTTCTTCTCCGCTTTTCTCCTCATAAACAAACACATGTCATAATTCCTCCGCCGCGGACATTCAATTCATTCGGCCCGGTGTCTTTTACCCTGCGCCCTGCGCGGGAGGGGTCAAAAATGGGGACGCCGCGCCGCGCCGGTGAGGGGGGAGCCCGGGGGGTTGTCTCACGTTTCCTCACACGTCGTCGCGTCTCCGAGTTTGCTCTCGGGTGGTATGCCTTGAATGCGACAATGACGTGAGGCCCGTTCGTTTCGCCGAGAGCCTGGCTCCAGCACCAACCCATCCAGTGTCTCTCTCCATTTACGAACTGAACCAACTTCCAACGTCTCCTCGCGACCCGCGTGCCGATGTTCACAATTACACTAATACATTTAACTGGTTCAGCTGTTCTAAATTCACTTCTAGCCAAGAACACTCTGCAGCCGCAGACTTCCATAAGGTAGAACTGGATCAGATACATCTTTGCAAAATTTCATTTTGATGATCGATACTCATTGGCGGATCCATTAAAAACTTGCACTGGAAAAAAAAACAAAAAAACACAACGGATCTTGAGTCAAGACTGTTAAAAACATCGACAAGAAAAAGTACTCTTGATTCAATCAGATTTCAGCTTAAATCAAGAACCAAGCCTCTTAATTTAAGCGGATTTCGTTTTGATTCAAGCAAAAATCCGATTGAATCAAGAGTATTTTTTTCTTGTCAATGTTTTCAAGAGTCTGGACTCTAGATCCCATGTTTTTTTCCCCAGTGTGGTATTTGAACAATGCACGGAGTGTAAAACAATGGAAGAATAATCGAAGTTGGGTTCAAACCCAACATGCAACTATTTCAACTCCGTAGTGAGCCGGGTTGCATACGCTCAATTTCGTGGGCGAAATCTGAGATCTGCCCACAGCTCTCGCGATAGAGCATGGGTGCAGTGAGCGTTTTCGTCGAGTTTCGTGTCTTTTTCGTCAGTTATTTGGACGCTCCTATCGCACAGATTGGTAACGATATATTAATAATCTGAGTCGAGGCTTTCAGACAGACATAATCGGCATTTGAATAATGGAGCGTTCTACAATGAAGGAATACATGAAGTTGGGTTTGGACACAACATGCAACCATTTTAATTCCGCGGTGGGCCGGGTCGATTTGCGTAAGATCTAGGAGTACACTGATTGAACCTGTACCAAAAAAGTAAATGATTATCTTAGTTCCACTAGGAGAAAAATAAGGGGGAAAACGGGAACCAAGGCTAAAATACAACACAAAAAAAAACCCAAGACGTTTCGACTCAAAACTTAGTCATTTTTAGGCGGAAAATGAATGACTGATAATGTCCCAGTTTTGAGTCGAAACGTGTCGTTTTTTTTGTGTTGTATTATAGCCTTGTTTCCCATTTCCCCCTTGTTTTCTTCCTATCACCATTGTCTCGGTCTGCTTCATAAAAATTTGTATCTTAGTTCCACCATCGATATGCAAGTCAAGTAGTGATCTATCCGTTGTATATGTAAACATGGCGGGCACTGCTGCTGTGGCGATACCATGTGCCAACGGTAGGATAGCTTCGCTTCCCCCGCGTATCGTGTTCTTTGAAAAATTATGACTATGTGGAATCTCGTCTTGTGCTGCGTTAATTATCATCCGCTCTAAGGGTCTATTGTTGAAAGTTGATTTTTAAAATTCTCTTCGAGTGTATAATTTTTTATTTTAAATTAGAGGGCTTACGATATTATTTAATTCACAAAACATCGTTTAGTCTTCCCTTAAGACAAACGAGAGGAATATGCAGCAGAAGGTCACAGGAAAAGATACCCACCGGTAAATGAGTTCAGGAATAATGATATTAAATATTTCGCTCCGCAACCTAAAATTTGACGGGGGAGGAGGGTGAGGCAGGTTCGGATCAGTGGCGTGGCGTCCTTTTCGATGTATCGATTGATCTACTATTTAAACCTATGGGAAAGGATCGATAAAAGGGTGTTCGCAACGAACACCTTGATAATCGATTCTTTACCATAGCCTCAAATGGGGAAATCGATAATCGATCGTTCAGGCCTCGGCGTCGGGTCGGATGCGGAGCGTTTATGCAAATTCGGGTAATCCCATGCTGAGTTTATAACTCTCCTTTTTTCGGCCGCGTTGTCTGCACGCAATTAGGATCTTCGCGTGATCCCAAAGCCGGC